TAAATTCTCACTTTTAAACACTCCCTTTGTTGAACCTATGACGATCACCACTAGATCCATGAATCAACCTGAGAATAATCCACAACGAGAGGAGGAGCTTGTTCCTCCACCTACCAACCTTGTCTCAAATGCTCTAGTTCCAAATTCTCAACAAATGTTGGAGACCATGCAGCAGCTGGTGACCCAAAACTAACAGATTCTGCAACTCATGCTCGCCAGACAAAGAGGAGCACAGCTTGGAGGACCCCAAGGAGCTCCACGCCCTGGACATCAAGGAGCTTCACGCCCTGGACATTAAGGAGCCCCACACCCTGATGCTCCCCATTTGGGCACCCATGCAGGTCTAGACGCCCCACACAGGGGAGTCCATCATAAGAGACCTCCAGCTCCTCTTACTTCTCATGGTTAACACCCTCATCTCCAAAAAGATGATGACAAAAACCAAAGCATGGAGTATGGGAGTCATTTCCATGATCATTCCAGAGGAGCCCCCAATCACTGGGATAAGAAAATTAAGGAAGTGCAAAATCAACTGGGTAACATCTTCAAAGTCATGAAGGCGCGGGGACCCGAGACAGTGGACTACCTTGTAAAGCGGATAGACATGCCTTTCAAACCTAACGTGATGAACTACTCCTTCCCTCAAAAATTCAAAATGCCATCTGTGGAGACCTTTGACAGAACGAAGGATCTACTTGATCACCTCAAAACCTACAAGACCTTAATGCAACTGCACAACGTCCCCGATGAAATTATGTGTAGGGCATTCCAAACTACCTTAAAAGGATTAGCACGACAATGGTTCGCTAAACTCACCCCGGGCTCCATAGCCTCTTTCGCCGAATTGAGTAGATCATTTGTGACACAGTTTATTGGTGGACGCCGCGCCACCAACAAAAGTAAGGAACTGCAAGGATGCCCAGATGCCCAACGGGGACACCGAGAAGCCTTACAAAGACTCTCAGGCGCCCAAATTGGGTGCCCAGGTCAGTTCAGGCACCCAGACTCCAGTTCCTGATGCCCTGACAGCCCTTGACTGCACCTCCAGCTCTTGATGCCTAGGATGGCTCCCAAGCTGCACCTTTAGCTCCTAATGCCCAGGTAGCCCCGACTGCACCTCCAGCTCCTGATGCCCTGGTTGGCGCCCAAGCTGCACCTCCAGCTTCTGATGCCCAGGCAGCCCCGATTGCACCTCCAGCTATTGATGCCCAGGCTGGCACCCAGGTAGCCCCTGCAGGCACCCAAGCTGCACCTCTAGCTCCTGATGCCCAGGCAGCCCCGACTGCACCTCCAGCTCCTGATGCCTAGGCTGCCACCCATCTGCTCAACATAAAACAGGATCGAGACGAGAGTCTGAAGAGTTATCTCACTCATTTTAACGAGAAGGTTCTTCAAATCGAGAAACTCAATGACAAAGTCACCATGACCACTTTTCTGGGAGGCCTTCACTCATCCAAATTCCTTTTTTCAGTAATAAAGCGATCACCAAAAAGCATGTTAGAACTATTGACAAAAGCTCAAAAATATATGAATGCTGAGGAAATCAACAGGTCCAGGAGAGGTAAATCATCTCGAGGATCTCCAAAAGCTTGGTCTGCCTCTGCACTGTTTTCAAACAGGCAGCCTCAATATCCAGCTTAGCTACTCTCTGACGGATCGCCAAAAGTTTGGCCTCTGCACTGTTCTCAAACAAGCAGCCTCAATATCTAGCTTAGCGACTCTCTTGCGGGTCGCCAAAAGCTTGGCCTCTGCACTCTTCTCAAATAGTCAGCCTCAATATCCAGCTTAGCGACTTTCTCGCGGGTCGTGCAAAAGCTTGGCCTCTGCACTGTTCTCAACACAGGCAGCCTCAATATCCAGTTGAGTGACTCTCTCACGAGTCACCAAAAACTTAGTCTGCCTCCTGCACTGTTCTCAAATAGGCATCCTCAATATCCAGCTTAGCAACCCTTTCACGGGTCGCCAAAAGCTTGACTTTTGCACTGTTCTTAAACAAGAAGTCTCAATATCCAGCTTAACGACTCTCTCGAGTAGCTAAAACCTTGGCCTCTACACTGTTCTTAAACAGACAACCTATATCTCCAGTTAGGCGGCTCTTTCACGGGTCACCAAAAACTTGGCTTCTGTGTTATTCTCAAACAGACAGTCTATACCTCAAGCTTAAAGACTCTCTCATGGGTCGTCAAAAGTTAGGTCTCAAAAGATATAGCTCTCTCACGAGCAGTTCTCCAACTCTGACTTTGCTTTCGCGCAAGTAGCCTACCTCTCTCTACAGGAAATTATGTGAGATATTCTAATGTTGGAATAACATTATTTTTGTCATCACAAGCAGGCTCTCCCAAGGCAGCCCTAGGCTCGCCCAAAACGCCCAAGGCATTCCCCCCCCCCCCCCC